AGTGAGAGAAGCTTTCAAAAATGGCTTTTCGGAAAAGTAAGAGAGAGTGTGGAAGTTGAAAAGTGATCTAAAAAGACCAACTGATATCTGATATACGTATGACCCGCTCGAGCAGAGAATAGGACGCTTGAGCGTCAGACACAAAAACTGGACCCGCTCGAGTATAAAGATTCCCGTTTAAGCGCCAAGACACAGGAATAAAATACATCCGCTCGAGCACGAAAACCAGTCCGCTCGAGCGTAGATTCTCCTCTCCCAGTATTTTCACAGAAACTGAACACTCCGCTCGAGCGCAAAAAGCCTGCTCGAGCGCTACCTGCTCGAGCGTGAAAAATACGTCTGCAGAAGTTTTGCAGAGGCACATCTACTGGAAGTGTGTAAATTCCGCTCGAGCGCAAAGGGACTCGCTCGAGTGGACCACCAAAATTCTGGGCAATAAAGAATGATTCCAAGGCTCAACCAACCTGTTCAAACACACGGAATTAAAGGATAACGACAAGATATGCAACCACCAGCTCCACGGAACCTAAGTTCGGAATACAACAATCAAAGGAAGAGAAACCGGGATCGCTATAGCAACTACCTACACTTAGAGCAAAAAGGTGGTCTTCTACTCTGCGACTGACTCGAGGAAAGCTGAGTTTGGCTAGATCTTCCAACAAACGAACCTGATGAGGTAAAACTATATTGAGGCTGTAATTGGGATGGTGACTGAGATTTAGCTCTCTTCTGCCTCCTTCTAGGTCTCATGTGCCCTTGAACCAAAGAGCTCGCCAATAAGGCCCTTTCTCCTTCATACCGACTAGCCTCAAGATTAATGGCTTCTATATGAGCCTCCGTTTCTACTAATGTGTGATAGTTTCTATGCATGCACCCCACTACGTTCCATTGGATATCATCGCATAACCTCTTCTCAAACTCAATATAACGTTGTTCCTTCGTTGCTACCAACTCTGAAGCAAATCTAGACAAACTGGTGAACCTTGCCTCAAACTATGCCAAAGGCGTAGTACCTTGGTGCAACTCCACAAATTGTTTCCTCAATCTTTCCCGAGTGGAAGGAGGACCCAAAAGGCCTCATTGAATGCAGCCTAGTTGGTGCCGACGGTAGGGCTTACATACTTCCACCAATACCCAACATCTCCCTTCAGTAGAAAACTTGCTAATACCACTCTCAACCCCTCATCTGTGACTCTGACCATATCAAGAGTCTTAGTGACCTGCTCTAACCAACTTTCTACCTCTAACGGTTTTGACTCTCTTGTGAACTCCGGTGGGTTAAAGCGAAAGAACTCCTTAGTGATCTTGAGAGCATGAGACTAGTCTCTCTCATTGCGTGTTAAAGCCTCCCGCATAGCTCTTACTATCTCATGTGCAATCTCCTCGCCTACAGCCGGTGCTACACGTACAGGTACTACTGGAATTGTTGTGCCCCTTCTGGCACCCCTAGTCCCAACATGACCTCTGTTGGCTTGCCCTAACATCCTATTAATGACAACATCAAACATCAATCAACCGAACTCTAAACCTTTCCCGAGACACTTACTCTTCCTACCAAGACACGAAACCCATAGCATATAATCACACAGCATATAAACTGTTTTAAGCAGCAAACCATGTAATCAAGTCAAGTCTACAAGAATGACCACTTCTCCTGGAACTTCCAAGGAATTCCTACCGGAAACCACACTGATCAGACGTGTTTCCAATGAGATCTCAAAGCAAGTAAGTTGGCTACAAGAACTATCCTTGAAATTGAACTCATGCTCATTCAATGTAACACATAATGTCCTACACCTCATACTTCCTACATGAAAATGTCCTTACCAAGCGAAGTCAAAACATTATGGTAAAAACCACTTCCCATGAGCTCAAGGTTTTCAAACCCAGTTAACTCTGATACCAAGTTGTCACGGCCCCAAATTTTACTAACCAGATACATTACCAAAACCTTAAATTTAAGTTCATTTACCCAATACATGTATATATAAATATCAAAATAACCATTACACTTGAGTAATGGAACAATGTTCTCTCTCTCTTGAATAAATACAACAATAGTACATGCTAAAGTGCACATTACAATGCTTAAAACAAATATTTACATGTGAAGACACTCTTCAATCCCAAACCATAATATACATTTCAGTTACGCATCAATTAGCAAAACATATACAAGAAATTGGACTTCTTGAATCTTCCAACAGTATTTTCAAATCCTTTTTCCCTAAAAATGGTAAAAATACATGGGATGAACAAATATGTCCAGTAGGAATTTTCAATGATTCTCAACAATAAGATCCCTAGATACATGCAATCATGAATACTAAAGAATGATACATATATAATTAATGTGCACTTTTCAAACTCAAAACACAATACATATATGCAATACATTTCTCATAAAAGAATCCGTGAAAACTTTTCAAAGGAAACTCTTTCTTTTATTTTCATATCATTCAAATATAGTTTTCAAAAGTTCTTCTCAAGAATCTTTTGTTAACATTACCTAGATGACTAAGTATAGAGACCATTCATTCTACTATAATTCACAACAAGCCATCACCTCATTATACTCCACATAAAATGGTTCAACTCAATTTCCTTATGTTCAACTTTACACAATTAAATTATTCATTTCTCATTTATTACAACCACACGTATAGATATCATCATAATTATTTCACAAAAATCCGGCTCCATTGCCAAGCCAACTCATCACACCACACGCTTTTCTAGGCGCTACTCTGGAAGAAATGTGGAATCTCTATTAAACGGCTACGCTTTACCGATCACAAGCCGGAAAGAATGCTAAACCTCTCGCTTTACCAATCATAAGCTCAAAGGAAGGCAGAACCTCAACATATCTCAACAGACCACACGTTTTACTGGGTGCTACACCGGAAGGAAGGCAAAACCTCTATTAAGCGCCACACTTTACCGGTCACAAGCCGGAAGGAAACGAACCCTTATTCCAATATCACCATCCATCAATTCATCATACTATTCATTGCTACAATTCCAACAAAAACAACAACACCATTCAGTATTTCCATCACACATTAATCTAACAACACATCCACCATAAGCATAAAAGTAATCTTTAGAAGCAATCACAATTCTTGTGTTCTATATCTCTCTTTACTAGTCAACATTATCATCAAATCTTAATATTCAATTGTACATTACAATAATATTATATATATATATAATATCCAAGATTTAGTGATTTAGTGATTTAATACCAACATTGATTTCTTTAACATAACCTTCGTATACAATAATCAATCCCCACAACCACTAATCTTCATTATTTATACTCATCTTAACCAAACATAAACTTACTTTCATGAATCTAATGTCGATTGAAACATTCTTCATTTCCAAAATAAATTTCACAACTAGGGTTAGGCATAAATTAGGGCTTTTTACTTAAGGGTATAAAATCTTGTTCTAATCACTTATTCACCTCAAATTTTCATTTAATTTCTCTATTTTGGAAACCCTAACTTTCTTTACATGCTTTGTAAAAATCTCCTCAAGATGATGTTTTTATGCAATAGAAATCTATCATCTATCTATCTATAAGAAAATGTTGAAGAGAAGCAAAGAAAATCCGTACCTTAAGCAAGACAAGGAAGAGCTCTAAATCCTGACTTCAATGAAAACGCAATCTGCTTGGGTGGATAGAAAGCCCTCGGTGTACTCTTTGTTTTTATACAAGGAACATGGGGTATAAAATGAAAGGAAAGAGATGAAAATCAAACTTGAAAACTTGAAACCCACAATAATGGTGGAAAATAAGAGAGAAGAGATTGAAAAGAGCCCCAAAAAAATGATTTTTCACGTGTACTGATATGTTTTATAGTCGACACATTGCAGACACAGAACCCAAACCGTGGCCGCGACCTACCCAGATGGCACCATTGCGAGTGCGACATAGATGGTCACGAGCGCAACCATGCTAACCGCGGCCCACGTATTCTCCCCCCATACATGCGACTTGAAAGCTAGATTTGGTCACAACTTGTTTATGGGCGCGACCTCCACTTAACACAGTTGCAGGCGCGACCTTCTTGGTCACGTACGCGACTAGACGAACCAAAAACTTCCTGGCTACTACCTAACAGCCACCTCGAGGCAGACCAACTGCCAAACCTACCCAGAATGGTCCACATCACCCACGACAACCTCGTGTCCCAACCACAACGAAAATGGGTCGGTTAAACTAACCCAGGCCACTACAACACGGGTCAACTGCTAGTATATATATATATATATATATATTCTACTATTTGTCCACGTGTCACCTATCCGTCCATCTAATTTACCTATTTGTCTATATCGTCACCACTACTACTGCTGTTGTTGGCCATAGCCGCCGACGGATTTTCCAGTGAACTTTTTGACTTGACAACCAACCGACAATGAGGATACAATTGGAAAAAATTATTCAAAATTTTTTTATTTATTATTCTCATCAAATAATTTCATTAAATATGTTTTTATTACTAGATAATATCATACTCTAGACCAAACAACATGACCTTATGAGTCTTAATTTTTTACCAATTATTTTAATTTTTTTTTAATGGCCAATTGATAATTTAAAAGTAAAAATTAAAATTATACCTTTCGCAACGTTAAAATAAATTAAGACTTGGTTTGACATCTCTTAAAAAAGTTAAAAAGTTAAAAAGTCACTATCATATTTAACTCACATCATCTTATTTAAGTCATATCACCTTTCTACCATATTACTTCAAACCTAACTCATATTTTATAAAAAGTCAAAAAATACGCTTATTCAGATCATCTCAAACAATCCCTAAATCAGTCACATACTAAGACCCCACATTTTATCTCATTTGTTTACTTATTTATTTTTGAATAGGTAGTTCATAAATAAAAAATAAAAATTTAGAATATTTATTTTGTAGATAAATAGATTACCTTTTAACTTTATTAAATAATTTTTATCAAACAAATTTATAACGGTATCAAATACTGTATGCCTCAAAAATACAAAATCACAAGCAGCTCTTCAAAACCGAGCAAGATCGAACTGCCGTCAAATTTTCCATTCATCCCCTGCGGTCTCCGGCGGCTACTTCCTTCGAAATGCTGCCTGATTCCTCCTCCTCCGCCGCCGCTTTCCTCAGCCGCTGCATTGTCGTCTTTTGCTTCTTCGCCGCCGTCTTTCTCTCCTGCTTCGTCCTCTTCAAAGCCGCCGACTTGGCCGGCCTTCCACTCCCCGACTCCTTCGATCCCCCCTCTCGGTTTCGCTACTTTCTTCCCTCTATCGCCGACAATTCTACAGCTGTGAGTTTAATTTCTCCATTATTGTCGCCTCTGTTTGTCAAATTAGTTGGAAAATGAAGAGAGTCGATTGTGTGATTTCGTTCTATGAGATTTGCGTCTGCGATCATGGAGATAATTTGTGTTTATTTTTGCATTTTTTAGCAAAATTTGTGTGCATATTGTGAATGTTCGTTTAAAGTTGGTACTGTTTGTGTCATTGTGGTTATTGAAATTTGGATAAATTACATTGTTTACTAAAATTATGGATTGCCCTATGTGATTTTAAAAATTACGTCCCATCCTTTTAGTTTCTAATCACATTTTTAATGATTTGATAAATATATTTTAGTTAGGTAATTTTATTATTTTGTATAGGAGGGTAGTTAGAAATTTTATTGTTTCTGTTAAATAAAAATTCTGACAAATGGTAACTACAGGATCATCTGTAATTTAAGAAAAAGCAAACCGCACTGTATTTGTAATTTACCCTTGAAATTTCTATTTCTGTTTGCGTCTGGCATCTGATACTTGGTTTAATGCCTTTTGGTGTTTTGTTTGTGTTTTTGGTCTCTGTTTGAGGTTGAAAATTGATCATGAGGGAAGAATGCCTTTTTCTTATTTTTATCGTGGAAATTTTTTTGGAGTTTCCATGTTTTTGCATTGAGTTGGTAACTGTTTTGCTATGACTGGTGCATGGATCCTGTTGTGGAATAGTTACATCAATCTGATAAGGATATCAAATGTAAGGAAAAAGATAATAAATAAATCACATAATACTGTGGGACCCACACTTCGAACACCGACACAGGGTGGGGCCTGCTGTGGAACCTACACACTATAGTACCCACTCCATTGCGAGTATCTGTGTTTCCGTTATGTGATTTGTTTTTGTGCATTAAAAGTATTATAAATGTAAATTTGACTTATTTATGTTTAGTTTATTTAAATATTCGTTTAAATCTGAATTGTGTTTTGAAACTTATTGTTAGAATTGATTGGTTATTTCTGATGATCAAAACATCTAAAGTCTGTGATGTTGGGTTGGTAGTAGACTAGTAGTTTAAGTGTCATTGAGTGATTGAGTTCACTACTTGAGAGTTACTCTTCAGCAGGTGATGCATCAGTTTTGTTGCCAAGAAAGGTATATGATATGTTCCGAACCTGTCCACATCAATATTTTTATCTCTTACCTTTAGGCACTAGCCCACTTACAAGACTTGCATGTTCTTCAAGTCAATTTGCATCAAATTTATATTGTTAATTACACTTAGCACCCCACATTTTCCTTGTAATTTTATTTTGGTCCCTTCACTTTTAATTGTGACAGTTAATCCCTACATTTTAAGTCAAGTTGCAATGTCACCTTCTATTCATCTATCGTTAATAAGGTTGACGGAACTTGTTATGTAAGCTAAATGTGACATTTTTTCATCTTATCAAAGCCCTTACGCTTTCATCAAAATCTCACTTTAGTCTTTGCACCTTCATTAAAATCTCACTTAGATCCTTTCACTTTTAATTTTTGTTGACCTCATTAATGGTAGATAGATGAGGGTGACATCGCAACTTGACTTAAAATGTAAGAGATTGACTATCACAATTAAAAATGAAGGGACCAAAGTGAAATTATAGTGAAAATGTAAAGGTGCTAAGTGTATTGAACCCAAGTTTCATAATGATCCTTGGTCCCTGCTTGATTTGAGCTTGCTAGGATAGGAGTTGAAAGCCATGTGCTTGATTTGCGCCTGCTACGAGCTCAAGCGCATGAGATATCCTAGAAACAGTGCTTGACAGGAAGGAGCTCGAGCGCCTGAGATGTTGGGGCTAGCACTCAACAAGTGCTCAACTTGGGCTTGACCGCCTGATATGTTAGGACTTACGCTTAACATGCGCATGACCTAGGGAGCTTTTATTTCCACACACCACATTATCTTCATTCCCACAATTAATTTTTGAAATTTTTGTTCGAAAGTTAATTTTCAAACGAAACTATTTGGTTTGGAAATCAACTTCTGGACCAATGAACTTTATTTGGAAATAAACTTCCAAATCAAAGATATAACCAAACCAAATAGTTTTGTTTGGAAGTTAATTTTTGTAATGCCTTAACCCTTCACATGTCATCGATATTGTCCGCTTTGGGCCACGCCCGCATGGATTTGTTCTTCCCAGTAGGTCACCCATCCCAGAACTACTCCAGCCTAAGTACGTTTAACTGGGGAGTTTTGCTAAGGAATTCACCACTCAGAAAAAGGCCTCGATGTTATATTAGGGTCCAGGTTTTTACTTTTTATATCACAGGAACTCTCCCTCCATTCCCGATGTGGGATACCGGGACCTTACAATCCACCTCCCTTAGGACTGCACGTCCCCATGCAGTAGCTTGCCAGCTCGCAAGCTCACCCACATACACCGAGTGACGCTAGGGGCCCACACTCGGTACTCCGGAGAGTCGGCTCTGATACCATTTGTAACGCCCCAACCCTTCACATGTCATTGATATTGTCCGCTTTGGGCCACACCAGCACGGATTTGTTCTTCTCAGTGAGTCACCCATTCCAGAACTACTCCAGCCTAAGCACGTTAACTAGGGAGTTCTGCTAAGGATTTCACCACTCGGGAAAAGGCCTCGATGCTATATAAGGCTTCAGGTTTTTACTTTTTATAGCACAGGAACTCCCCATCCATTCCCGATGTGGGACACCGGGACCTTACAATTTTTGAACCAAAAAGATGTGTGCACTGAGAGGAAATCATGTGTGGAAATAGAAGCTCCCCTTGACCAGGGTTCAAGCGTTGTCAGCACACTTCTAGTCAACTTTATGATTTACATGGTTCAAGCGCTGCCAACACTTCCCGAGGCGCAATTCACTTGTTGTCTGAATTATGTGAAAGGGTGGTCGCTGAACAAGCCTTTTTGAAAGTGTGTTTAGTAACCATGATTTGTAATTTATTGATTTTAAAGTAGAAGTACTCTAATATTTGAAATCTAGAGAAAACATGGTTACCAACCACACCTTTTATTAAATGTTGATCAATTTTTCACTATACTTCGAATATAAATAGGAAACTAAAAGATTGGTTGCTAACAACATTATTAAAGACATTTAAAAAAAAATTATGGATTTTCCTAAGTTTAAGGTGGGGTCAAGTCACATTAGGCTCGGGTCAATGCCAAGTTACATTTCTTGTTAGCAATTTGGACATCAATTAGCAATAAAGCTACATTGAAAAAATTCGATAGTTTAGGGAAGAAATTGGGATTTTTTTCCCTTAAAGGACCAAAATAGGAATTGAGGCATAATTTGGAGGAAAACATGAATTGACCTTGTAATCTTGGAAGTTATATATTTTTTTCACTTAATAAGAGGTCATAAGTGTAGCTGTTTGTATTTGACATATCCCTGTAGATGGTAGGAGGTGTGTTGTCTGAGGAGCTTGCTTTGGGAAGATGAAAAACATTGTTATGGCCTGGGATCACTCAAGGTTAGAGCCAAGGACAGTCTTAGGGGGGAGAGAGAGAAAGAGAGGGTGGTTTTAGGGAGCATACCGTGACGGAGAGCAAGGTGGTGAAGTTGTGTTGCGTGTCTTTTGCATGCATGGGAGGAGCCATCTGAGTTGAGAAACGTGGCTCAATCCCCTTGGCTAGGAAAACCAAACCAAACCAAACCAAGCCTTAAGTCCCATCAAATGGGGTCGGCTACATGAATCCTTCTTCTCCACACGGCCCTATCAAAGGCCATTTCATTAGTCAAATTAAATAGATTCATTTCTCTATTTAAAACACTAGTCAACGTTAATCTAGGCCTACCCCGTCCCCTAACACTTCCATCTACCGTTACAGCATCGCATCTCTTCACAACTGTCTCTGTTGGTCTCCGTTAAATATGACCAAACCATCTCAAATGATTCTCTTTCAACTTATCTTCTATCGGTGCTACTCCTACCCATTCCCGAATGCACTCATTCCTAATCCTGTCTTGTCTAGTCTTACCACACATCCACCTTAGCATCCTCATCTCAGCCACATTCATCTTATCTACATGTTGTTTCTTAGTGGCCCAACACTCTGTCCCATACAACATAGCTGGTCTAATAGCCGTTTTGTAAAACTTACCTTTTAGTTTAATGGGTATTCATTTATCGCACAATACCCCAGACGCACTTCTCTACTTACACCATCCCGCCTTAATCCTATGGGCCACATCTGCATCAATCTCTCCTGCTGTTGTGATAATCGACCCTAAATAACGAAAATGTTCACTCTTAGGCAATTCTTGGTTCTCAATCTTCACCTTCCCTCTCTTCATGATGACAAATTACACTCATTGTATTTGCTTAGTCTCTGCTTCTCCGAATCCTTTAGAGTCAAAGCTTTCTCCAAAATCTCTAATTTTATCTAATCTATCTCTAGTCTCATCCACTACACGAATATCGTCTGCAAAAAAGCATGCACCATGGCAGCTCATCTTGAATATTTAATCGTCAACTCGTCGTCCAATAACTAAAAGCAAAAGATAAGACTAAGGTAATCCTGTGTAACCGCTACAGTGATAGGAAATTCCATTTGTCTCTCCAACTGGCATCATAGTGGTCACCACCCCTGGCATACATGTCTATCACGTTAAATGCTAACCTTTGTTCACACCGTCTTTCTCTCTAACACAACCATATTATACTCCCGGGCACTCTGTCAAGCTTCTCACGTCGATAAACACCATATGAATGTCTCTTTTCTTTTCTTTATACTTTTCTATTACTCTCCTCAAAAGATAGATCGCTTCCATTGTTGACCTACCAGGCATAAACCCAAATTGATTCTCTGACATCTCTGTTATATCTCGCAATCGACGTTCTATCACCCTCTCCCACACTTTCATTATATGACACATTAGCTTAATTCCTCCATAGTTGTTACAATTCTGGGCATCACCTTTATTCTTATAGATTGGCACTAAAATACTCTTCCTCCACTCATCTGGCATGTTCCTAGTCAATAAAATTTTGCTAAACAACCTAGT